GGGGAGGGGGTAGGGGGGGCAGGGGGAAAGGTGTTTTAAGGACTTATTTTACTTCTCATTATCCTCCTCTGATTCTGATAGTAGTAAAGTCACTTTGCAACTCTAAGTTGAGCCTGTTTTTCCCTTGAAGTGTTTTCTCCTGATTCTTATGTCACTCATTTTTTTCCCTCTCCGCTGCCAAGCTGTAGCAGGGGAGGGTGAGCAAGCCACTCTTGTGGGCACCTGGTGCTGGGCCAGTGCCAAACCATGACACTTGCATAGCTTGAGCATGCTAGATACCAATTCCAACTTGTGAAATGTCTGAGAACTGAATATAAAAACAGCTGCTGGGCCCTTCAGCCATTTGCTAAAGGAGGTATGAGGGACATATCTGTTCCTGTTTGCTGGCCATGCACACCAGGCAACGGAACAGAGGAAAAGAGATGAAATCGTGGGCTGTTCCCAGGCACTGTTGTTTTCTATCTCCACTGCCAGTGTATTTTGGATTGTTAGTCTAATTGCCATTGGCTGTAGGGTAGCAGTGAACATCTTCATCAGCTCCAAGGAAAAGGGCACGAAGTAAAATCCACTGCAGGTACTCCTACACTCTTCTTCCGCCATCTTTTTCCTTGAGCAGACTGGAATAGTTCCTACAGGGAGTATCAGGGGCAACCACTAAGATTCAGTGGAGATCCTGCAGGTTGTCCATCAGCCTCTCCTGTGAAAGGAGGGAGTTCAATATGTCCCCACTAGACTGACCTGGGGAGATAATAACAACAAAAGTAAGAGAAAAGTGGAAAAAGGAAATAGGAACCTGAAGCTCTGTCATGTGCCCAAACATTGGAGACCTTGGGCATGCAGGTGAGAAGCACAGAAGTGGTGCCCCTTTGCTGACAACTTGAACAAAAAAAAATCTATAGGCATGAAACAGGTTCACAACACCTGCCCACAGGGGATGCTGCTAGCCCTTGATCTCAGCATTCGGCCTGTGCTGATGTCTTTCTGCCCTCAAGTTCTTGAACCTCTCATCTTGACACTTACATAAGTTTGCATAAAAGAAAACACATGGAATGCACTAGGAAATGAAAAGCAGCAATGCAGGAAACCAGGACACAGCCCCTACCATTAGCTGGGATGGTGCACATTTGACATGAGCTGGTCAGAAAATTATGCCTTCCACAAAGGTGCCTCTGGGCCTGAGGCAGGGCAGGACTGCTATAAAAGGCAGCCCCAGTCTCTGCTCTCTCATCCACTTCTCTCACCTCCTTCTCCTCAGGAATCAGGTGAGTGGGAAGCTTCTTCTCTCCTGCTCCTGCTCCTCCTCCTGCTTCAAGAGCAGCTCTTTCCTGGCTGTAGGTCTCAACTAAGAGGGGCTCTCATAGCACAGGGCTGGGAGCTGCTTCTGCTGGGAGAGGGCAGGGGAGAGAAGGTCTTGTGCAGAGTGAGAGAGGCTGGCACTTGGCTGAGGTGGCTCCTGGGCTTTGAGCTGGGCACTGCAATGTGGGCCAGGAGATGCCTTGGCTGCAGGGTGTTTGGGTGCAGTGCTGCTTCTCACGTGTCCCCACTTTCTGCTTCTGCCTGTCCTCTGTGCCAGGTGCACCTGTGACCCCGAGCCATGTCCTGCTGCAAGCCCTGCGACCCTTGCTGCCAGCCCTGCGGCCCCTGCCCGCTGGGCAGCAGCTGCAATGAGTGCTGTGTCAGGCAGTGCCAGGATTCCCACGTGGCCATCCAGCCCTCGGCTGTTGTGGTGACCCTGCCCGGCCCCATCCTCAGCTCCTTCCCACAGAACACCGCCGTGGGATCCTCCACCTCCGCTGCCGTTGGCAGCATCCTCAGCTGTGGTGGCGTGCCCATCAACTCTGGGGGCTTTGACATCTCCTGCATCACCAACTGCTATGGTGGCAGCAGATGTCGTCCCTGCTAATTCTGCTGGCAACACCCTTGGGCAAGAACTTTCACAACCTTAGGACTTGGTTCTGAACAGGACATAGAGCTTTGGGACATTGTAATTAGAGTTTCCAGCCATTGTTCTCTCCTTCTCTCCTTTTGCTCCTTCTTTTGCTGTCCATGTCTTCTGAAGCCAGTTCAGTGGACCCCTGTTTCTCTCCCTTCCCTCTGCAGGCCAAGCAGAGGGACAGCCCCACTGCATCTCAGTGGCTCCTCCTGGTGCCCTCTCTGAGCCACTCTGAGTATTTTTTTCCTCTACACTCAATAAAGCTGTTTTGCATCCATGTATGGTCGTCTGAGTCCTCCTTCATTCTGTAACAACTCTTCCAGTCTGCTCAGGGAAAATAGCCGGAGAAAGCAAATGATGGGACTTTCCTTTGTGCCTTTTCCCTTGGAGATGACAAAGTCATCCATAGCTTCTCAGCAGCCAAGGCCATTAGGGAGACTGGCTCCAAAGGGTGTCAGGAATGGAGAAGGGAAAAACAATTCCTGGGACCCATAGAGATTCATTGGTTCAGTGTTGATCAGTCTCAAGTTATGCAGTTCTTAGTATTTGGTTTCCTATTGGTTACCGATCTCTTTGCCTTCGCCTCTGGTGCTAATTAGATCCTCATTCTTGTCTCTCCTTTCTGAGACCAGATGTCTCAGAGCATGCCAGGAGTGTTATTTGGAGTTGATGGTCCATTAATGGCCATTGATAGTCATTATCTTTTGTGTATCTTCTGTGCAGTTCCTAGTCTGTTGGGATGTTCAGCTCATCAGGCCTCACTTAGTGGAACAATACCCTTGAAAGAATCTTCAGTTGTCTTCCCCTGAAAATGTCATAAATGTCAGAGTGGGACACTGGTGGTTTGGTTCTTTTGCTTCTTTTCCTCGGGTGGGGGGGGGGGGGGGAGGGGGGGG